CCAGCTTCTACCTCACTGAGGTTGCTGTTTCCTCAGTCTGAGGTGAGAATGAAGCAATGAGAAGGGTCACTGTTTAATAATGATTGAACAAATTACATTTTTATTTTATGTATGGCACTTTTTTTTCAACAAGTGTACTTGCAATAAAATATTGCAAGACTGCCTGTTTTCCTGTGAAAGTTTTAAAGCATCATACAAGCTTAAACAGTAACCCTTTACAAATTCTAATCATACACAAGGCAAATGAAGGAATGCATGCATTTTGATGTTTTTTTTTATTTGAGGCGGGATTGGACAGCACAGTAGGAAGCCATTTATCCCATCGTGCCTGGGGGCTCTTTGAATTAGCTCCCATTCCCTGTTGTTTACCAATCAACCTGTTTATATTCTTTTCAACTGTGTGGCTGTTTCCCTTCCATAAGTTATTATTGAAACTGCTTTCATCACCCAGGCATTCCACATCAAAAGAACTCGTTACAAATTAATAATTCTTGACATCCCTCCACCGTTGACAGTCAGTCACAGCAGTGTGTACTATCTGCAGGATGCACTGCAGGAGTTCACCAAAGATCTTTAGACAGCACCTTTCAAACCCATGACCACTACTTTTGAGAAGGACAAGGGCAGCAGATATATGGAAACACCACTACCTGCGAGTTCCCCACCATGCCATCACCATCCGACTTGGACAAATATCACCATTCCTTCAGCGTTGCTGGGTCAAAATCCTGGAATTCCCTCCCTCAGGACATTATGGGTCTACCTACAGCACATGGACTGCAGCGGTTTAAGTAGACAGCTCAGCACGACCTTCTCAAGGGCAACTAGGGACGGGCAACAAATGCAGGTCCAGCCAGTGACACTCACATCCCATGAACGAATTAAAAACAAAATTCACCTTTTTCTGTCAATAGCAATTCCCTAACCTTATCACAATTGGTACTCTATGGGTTAAATTACCATAAATCTCTGCCCTCTGATTATCGCCCATGAGTTTTTGACCACTCTTACTGGAAACTCTCCTTAACTTTCTCAGCTCTAAGGAAAAATTCCCAGCTTCTCCAGTGTCCTCACATCACTGTAGTTGCTCATCTCTTTCTAAAATGTGGTGCCACAGTTGGACATATAGTCCAGTTGAAATCTAGCTTATAAGTGTTTTGTGTAACAAGTTAATATTATTACTGAAACTTTCTACAAAGTAGGAGACCTTATGAGCACTTAAAATGAGATCGTCTAAGTACTGAAAAGGATGAGTTGAGAATTACCAGGGAATAGGGAATAGAGCAGGACAGTTTCAGTCAAAGAGTTTAAAGCCACAATGGGCTGAATTATAAAAAAACCGAAAGAATCTGGATGCTGCAAATTAGAAACAAAAACAGAAATTGCTGGAAAAGCTCAGCAGGTCTGGCAGCATCTGTGCAGAGAAATCAGAGTTAACGTTTCAGGTCCAGTGACCCGTCTTCAGGAGGGCTGAATTAAATCCCCTTGCATTGTCATTTAAGTGCTTATATTCCACCAACAAAGCTTCAGGATTACTGATGTAAAATAAATTTCCTTACAAGATAGTAAATGGGTTACTGAAATACAACAGAGATAAATAATAGATCACAGCTCAACGAATGTTGGAAAAGCAGATCTAAAAAGTACAAGGGATGACAGGGTGAAGGTACAGAAGCTGGAATTGTGCTTCTTAAAGAAGGAACATTTAAAAGAGGTTCAAAATTATGATGGACTCCAAGTAAATAAGGTCAAAATATTTTCAGTGATAGGGATGTCCAAAGGCAAAGGATCCAGATTTAAGGCCAATGGCACAGGAGGCAGAGGGGAGCTGAAGATAATTTTCTCCATGCAGTGATCAGTTGTGATTTGGAATGTGCTGGCTGGAAGGGTGATAGAAGAATATGCAATATTAACTTTCAAAAGAGAACTAGACAAATAATTGTAGGGGAAAAATTTCAGGGTTATGGATTGAGTAAGGAGATAGCGTAGAACTTTGAAAAGGCAGAGGCATTGGTTGATTGGGTGAATAGGTAGCAGATGAAGTTCAACGTGGAGAAATATGAGGTGGTTCATTTTGGTATGAGAGACATGGACAGACAATACAAAACCATGGGTATTAAGGTTGTAGACTTGCTCGCCGAACCGGTGGGTTTGGTTGCAAATGTTGCATCACCCTGCTGGGTAACATCATCCGTGCGCCTCCGGTGAAGCGTTGGTGTTCTGTCCTGCTTGTTACTTATATGTCTCAGTTTGCTGTGGTGATTGGTATTACTTCTAGTTTTATTTCTCAGTGGTTTGTACACAGGGTCTACTTCAATGTGTTTGTAAATAGAGTTCCGATTGGAATACCAGGCCTCCAGGAATTCCCTGGCACGTCTCTGTTTGGCTTTTGCAATTATGGATGTGTTGTCCCAGTCAAATTCGTGTCCCTCGGTGTCCGTGCGTACTCAGACAAATGAGAAGTAGTTGTGCCTCTTGGTGGCTGGTTGGTGATCGTGTATCTGTATTCTCAATTTTCTTCCAGTTTGTACTGTTTCTCACAGTCCTTGCATGATATTTTGTATTTTACCCCAGTTTTGCTGGTTACGGGTATGGGGTCCTTTATGTTCGTCCGTCAGTAGCTGTCATAGGGTGGTTGTCGGTTTGTGGGCTACTCTGATACCTAGGAGTCTGAGTAGTCTTGTGGTCATCTCTGAAAAGTCCTTGATGTATGGTAGGGTAATCAGTGTGTCTGGCTGTGTTGTGTCTTCCTGTTGTGGTCTGACTCGGAGGTAACGGTGGATTGTGCTTTTCGGGTATCCATTTATTTTGCAAACTCTGTATAAATGCTCTTGTTCTGCTTTGGGCAATTCCGGGTTGCTGCAGTGTGCTGTGGCTCGTTTGAATAATGCCCTGAGGCAGCTCCGTTTACGGGTGTTGGGGTGGTTACTAGTGTAATTGAGCATCTGGTCTGTATGTACATTCTTTCGATATACACTAGTCTGGAGTTTGCCGTTGTTTTTGCGTTCTACCATTATGTACAGGAAGGGTAGTTGGTTGTTGTTCTCTTCTTCGTTCATGAATTTTATCCCAGTAAGGATGTTGTTTATGTGTCGGTGGGTTACCCAATTCTCACTTGTCTCACTACACACCGACAACAAGAGACACAAATTCAACTGGGACAACACATCAATAATCGCACAAGTCAAACAGATGGGACATGATGGGAAATCCTGGAGGCTTGGTATTCCAACAGGAGCTCCATCAACAAACACGTTGAATTTGACCCTGTGTACAAATCACTGAGAAACAGAACTGGAAGTAATACCAACTACCTTAGCAAACCGAGGCATATAAATAACAAGTGGGACAGAACACCAATGCTTCACCGGAGGTGCACTGACGATGTTACCTAGTAGGCTGATGAAACGTCTGCAATCAAACACACCGGCTCGGCAAACAAGTCTACAACCTCATCCACAATCTGAGCTACAAATGTTCTCAAAAACTTTACCATGGGTAATAACTATAAAGGGGGTGCAGGAATAGAGGGACCTAGATGCATGTCATTAAAGGTAGCAAGACAGGATACATAGAGTACAAGGAGGTTTATACTGAAATCATATAACACATTTGCTCAGCCTCAGCTGTACAGAACTGGATGACTAGGAGATAGCAAGAACTGCAGATGCTGGAAGTCAGAGTCAATACAGTGTGAAGCTGGAGGAACACACAGCTCAGGCAGTATCAGAGGGGCAGAAAAGTCGATGTTTTGGGTCAGAACTCGATGCCCTGATGAAGGGTCCTAACCCGAAACGTCAACTTTCCTGCTCCTCTGATGCTACCTGACCTGCTGTGTTCCTCCAACTCCACAGTGTATCGAGACAATTGGGCAAACCTCTTTAGGAAGCTTGTGAAGGCATCAGAGTGGATGAAGAAAAGATTCACAAGAACAGTTCCAGGAATTAAGGACTTTGGTTACAAAGAGAGACTGGACAAGTTTAAAGAAGAGAAGACTAAGAGAATATATGATAGAGGGTCTGGACAGAGTAAATAGGGAGAAACTATCCCCATCTGCAAAAGGATTGAGAATAAGAGTGTAAAAACAATATTCCTCATGCAGCAAGTAGTTAATGTCTGAAGTAAGGGTGTTTAAAACAGTTTCAAATGAGACATTTAAAAGGAGACTGTTATTGAAAAAAAAGAATGTACAGGGTTACAGGGAGAAGACAAGAGTATGGAAGTAAGCAAAATGCTTGTTCAGGCTGAATAGCCTAGTTCTGCACCATTCTCGTGATACTGTGATCAGGAGTAAGGGAGTGGGGCTGAATTCAAAGAGCTGGTACAGGCATGGTGGAAAATCAATTTATTGATTCACTTGCTAACCACATTCCTCAATCCCTCTCCTCCCAGAAACTGTTGCCTGTACTATTACTATCACTGTCCTTCCCTGAGAACCTATTTCACCACAAAATTATCCTTTCGCGAAAAAAGTTGTTTCTTCTTATTTTGTAGTTAAGGCTATCTTATTTGTACTGCCTATCATTTGAACTCTCACCCCAAGCTTTTCTGCTTCAGCTCTCGAGAACCAGCACTGTGACCCAAATTAAGGTAACTTGGAACCCTCTTCCTTTCTGAAGGAAGCCAGCCAAGCTTCCTGAACATTTCTGCTTGAATCCCGATGCTAGAGCTGCTTTTGTTCCTGATTCCATATGCATTACACCATGGGTAATCCAAAGGAGAACAGAGAGAGAAAAAGAAAGATGGAGAGAGAGACAGACAGAGGAGAAGCAGCGATTGCTAGAGGTGCTTGTTAAATGATATTTAACTGAACATGTGTCCTAGTTGCCCACTCACACTCCCTTCCCAGGACATAATAGTACTGTATGATAGTTTACTGTATGATAACAAGACAGTGAGAGGCTGACCGATTGCCTTGCTACCCCAGGGAGTTCTGGATGAAAGGGTAAAGAAGGGCAGCAGTACTTTTTGCCATCAGGAATCGGGTGTAGCTGTCCTACCTTTTTTGTGACATGTCTGACTGCAGAAATCGGTTCCTGTGTGAGTAAAGATCAACCAATTACATTTTGAGTGGAAACAATGCATTAATTTTGAAGACACTGCCCATTTTAACTGTAAATAAACCCCCCCGGGTGGGATTAAAACTTTTCTCAATAGTTTTGTGTGCTCAGGCAAGGAGTGAAAGGGAGAGGGTGGGGAGTGATGGTTTAATAAACACGAGCACCCTGTTTTTGCACGCAAAAATGTTGACTTTTTTGTTTACTATTTAAATACATCCTTCAAAGGGACTCAGTCATTTGGTTCTCTTTTCCAGCTGTGTTCACTTAGTTAAGCTTGGTCTCCTCTGCAGACACTGAGGCTGGATCAGTTGTGGGTAGGGTCTGAAAGTCAGGCTGGCTGCGATGGCCATTGTAAAGGGAGAATATTACTGGTGGGGATAAATCTGTTGAATGGTGGACCTGAAACTGGGATGGGCTCAAAGCTGATTCAATCGTCTGGCTATGAGGGGCTTCCAATCTTTGACGGCTATGGATCTACCTCACGGATTACCTGTGGTCTGCTGTTCTTTGCTTCAATCGTTTGCTTCTGGACAACAGATCAAGCCCATACCTCTTCAGTCTGCCGAGCCCCTCTCTCTGAGACTCTTTATTAATATCTCTTCAATCTGACAGTTCCCCTCTGCTTTCAAAACCTACGGACATCTTTTAGATTGCTCCCACCCTTGTACAACCTCCTTAATGTCATTCTTCACCTTGGTGTCCATTTCATTCTTTGAAACTTCCCGTGTAAAGCCTAAGCGATTATAGCAGCTCAGTAGCAGTGTTAACCCAGTGCCTGGCCAGTACAACTTTACCCCTCAAAACTACTCTTAAAATCTCTTGCAATTTGGTTTTTGTTACTAATGTGTTGCTGAATTGGACAAGGGAATTAGGCACGTGAATAAATGAAACATGATACTGGAGATATTTTAGATGACAAGAGGGAAATTGGTCTGATTTTGCAATGCAGTGGAATTTAAACTCCAATTTTTCTCTGGATCATTAGTCCATGTGGCTCTGTGACGTGTTGTTTGATAACACTGGTGTGAAGTACCTTGTAATGCTTTGCAACATTACCTGTTTTTGTTCTAAGGCTCAGCACTTGCTTGCAATCGGGTTCCCCAGCAATTGGCTGCTCAAGGTGGATTCAGTTACACAGTCCCGTATTCTTCCTGTGTGGGTGTATGCCCTCACCATCCCACGCCTCAGTGAGTGAATAGAGTCATACAGCACAGAAACAGACCCTTCGGTCCAACTAGTCCACGTTGTACATGTTCCCAAACTAAACAAGCTCCACCTGCCTGCGATTGGCCCATATCCCTCCAAACCCTTCCTATTCATGTGCCTATCCAAATGTCTTTTAAACACTGTAACTGTACCTGCGTCCATCACTTTCTCTGGCAGTTCATTCTAGACACGAACCACTCTGTGTAAAAAAAGTTGCCCCTCATGTTCTTTATACATCTTTCTCATCTCACCTTAAAAATATGCCCCATTGTTTTAAACTTCCCCATCCTTGTCAGTCACCTTATCTATGACCCTCATGATTTGATAAACCACAATAAGGTCATCCATCAACCACCTACGCTCCAGTGAGAAAGGCCCCAGCCTTTCCTGTCTATTTTTATATCTCAAATTCTCTATTCCCTGCAACATCATGGTACATCCTTTCTGACCCTCTCCAGTTTAGTAATACCCTTCCAATGACATGGTGACAAGAACAGGGCAGGAAAGCAAAATTTACACTGTTTTGAAACAAGATCTGTTAGTGACCCTCAGTCTCATTGTCTCTCACTCCCCGTGCTGTTA